TTGCTGTATCTTCAGCGGGCAGAGAGCTCTGACCTTGGCCGGATGGGCTGGTGAGTATTGGATCACTCCCTGCCTCCTCATGAACAAGTTGTTTAAGGAGTCATCGCCAGGGGCTGCTTTTAGCCAGCTTTGGTTCGGGTTCTTTTACACAGGTTTCTGGGTGTTTTGATCCTGACAGCGCCAAACCCTCAGGTTTGCTGAATTAGGGCTCCTACCTGTATGGCGCATGAAATATCCTGGAAGCTGATTGATGACTTAGTGCTCCTGTTGTGTTCATTTGGGCTGTGCTTCAGGCTTCTCTCCCTGGGCTCTTACAGTTGCTGTATCTCTTGGATGCTGTGCAGGACAGAATCAGGCAGCCAAACCTCAGGTCCACCTTCTCCCTGACCCTCTACATTGATCGTGTGGCACAGCAGATCCTGAAGCCAGGTACTGGAACTTGCTGCGTGTGTCACTTCTGGGGTGAAAAACAGAGCCTTGGGGAGTGTTGATCTCCTCACCTACTTTGTGCTCATGCACTCTTGATTGAGCTTTTCGTTCTGGGGAAGAGAAGGGGAAGCTGTGCAGCAATCGAGTGAGTCTCAGAGCAAAGGCCTTCTGCAGTTGCTGGACTGTTCTTCTAGCTTGGAACACTGCACACTCGCTACAGCTTCCATGGATTGTCGCACATGGTTGTGGGTTGGGAGCATTGTCCCCCATGGTGCCAACTTTTTCTCTTCACAGAGGAGCACATGAGCACATGTACATAAAGGTAAACAGATTCCTTCTGTCACGCCAGTATTTGGACCTGAGGAAGGTACCATGTTTTTTCCAGCTTTTCTACAGTTTTGATTTTGAGGTAAAAGTCCCATTTTAGGTATCCAGTAATTCTTCAGAAATGTATTAAAAACAGCTGTAAAAATACAATGAAATTTCATTCTCCATAGATAGTTAATTAGAGGCATCTTTCTTATGTTTTATATATGAAAAATGGTATTTCTGGGGGGGTTTCATTGTTTTCTTAATACTAACGCAAAATGGGTTGTGCTGTGTATGCTTTGTGAGCACAATAAACAGAATATTCTGCCCCAGCTAGCTACAATTCCTCTTTGAGTTTCGATTAGTAACTTTGTATAGTAAAAACAAGGCGACCCTTGAGGCAGAGAGAAATTATGCATCTGACTCCATTGATATCAGAAGGCTAATTAACTACTTTATTATACTATATTATTCTATACTATATTACACTACATCTAAACTGAAACCACACAAGCACTCAACAAAATCTTGTGACTGTCTGCTGACCAATAGTTTGGATGTGCGCTTGGACCTGATAGGCCAAGAAAACAAAGCACCATCACTTTGGGTAAACAATCTCCATATTGCATTCTACTTTAGCACAACACAGCAGCAGCAAATGAGATAAGAATTGTTTTGATCATTCTTTTCTCTGCTTCTCTCACTGCTTCTCTCGGGTTCAATCCCACAACTTTGAGTTCAACTGAAGTATTTTAGAAACAGCAACTTCTAAAATTCTATTTCCACTGCATGTTTGGGCTGCAGACTGACTGTTCCTGATGGATGTTAGTGATTTGATAGGAATTTGATAGGAATGGAAAACGAGAAGTCCAGAACAAGCTGTGGTATGCCCTGAGCTGGCACTCAGAAGGAACCAGGGTTTTGTGCTCTTAGGAGCAGGTATTCTTTGGAAATGTCTGATGGTGGTATTTTTCTTTGTGGCTTCCCGCACAAAACAGAGCGTGAGTGGATTCTCAGATTTCTTGGAGAAGGGCTGTGTGACAAACATTGCTATGAGCTTTATGACTACCAGAGGGTTTTCTGGGTCATTCTATCCTTTCTCAACATTCCTTTGTGTGACAAGGGCTCCCAGGTAAGAATTTAAAAAGAAAGTTCCAAAAAACTCCAAACTACAAAGGTTTGCATGGCTTCGAGATCTCAAGTACAAAACAGAAAGGAACAGCTGACTCTGCCTTGGCCCTCTTGAAATCTGTTCCTTGTTGGTTTTGTGTATGTGTGGAGGGGGAAATAATTGCTTGTGTCTAAACCAGTCCCATCCTTATCCCCTGAAACTGGAACAGGTTCCTGCCATCATGGAGCCTCATGTGAGTGCCATGGTTTTGCTGCTACAGTCCCTTTTCATTTTTTGAGGTCTCTATTCCCCAGCCAGTGCATTTGTTACCTGAACAGTGCTTCAGCAGGAGGGAAACTCACATGCCAAGAGCTCTCAGGTTTGGGAGCATCCACCCTGAGTATTTCAAGTATCAAAACCTTGGACAAAAAGATAAAATTGTCTTGCTACCTGAATATTTCTTGTAAGAACAGCACCTGTGGTATGAAGCTTTGAAGGGAAAATGTCTTTCCTTCCCTGGAGCTGCTGAGAAGAGGTGGTGTTTATTTTACTTTGAAGTTGATCAGATAGCAGCCAAATTGCTAATTTTAAGTTAGATAATTAGATCCTGACTATAAAAGAACAAGTTACATTTTCTGTTTCAGTGTCGTATTCTGGAGATACTGCAAAGTGCTGCCTGTGTCACCCGAGCTGCCTATGAGCTGATAGAGGATCACAGCCTACTCACGTGGGTCATGAACAGCTTAGAGAAAAGGTAACCAGAGAAGTACAGGAGAAATGGGAACAGTTTTCCTGTCCACAGTAGAAGAATTATGTGGCTGAGGATAAAAGCAAAGGTCACAGACATGAAAATAGGGGCACCAAGGGCTGTACTGGCAGAACTTGCTGAACTCTGAGGTGTTCCTTGTGGTTTTGAAAACAGAAGCAAGATGCTCTCAGGTTGTGGTAGGAGGGAGGATGGTGGGGGGGCTTTGTGATTTGGAAATCACTTCCTTGAAAAACTGAAAAAGCAAAATGGCACCTTGTGCTGGTGTTTTTACCTTTTAAATTTCAAGCACTCTCTGTTCACATCCTGTCACAGGACCTGTTGCACAGTGAAGCAGCACAGTAATGGATTTGAACTGTCTAGAACATTCCTTCTTGCCTTGCCTCTCCCTCTGCATACATAGAAAGCCCTGACAGGTTCAGGCAAGTGCACCAAAAGTGCACTAGAGTACGGTCCCCTGTAGGTGATGGACCAGCTGCTGGTGAGGATCTGCCTTTCAAATATGGTTTTCTTTTTTCTTTTTTGTTTTGTTCTGTTTTTCAGGTTTCTGGAGAACAAGGTGATAAATAAAATGATTTCCTTTCTCCATACTCTATGGGTAATAAATTTAAGAGACAAGAGAAAACAAGAATCAATCCCAGAAGAACAGCAAACTTATTCTTAATAAGCTTGTAAATGAATTTCTGTGTGTTTTGGTCGCATTAATCAAACATATTTGGTAAGTCCTTTGTTTTGTTTTTTTTGTTTTAGTCAGTTTGCATTTCATCCTCTGCCCAGTTTGAACTTTATTAAGTTTTCTTTATTAAGAAAAAGAAATCTATATTAAGATTTATCTCTGATAGATGGATGGCTCTTTTCACCTTCAGTTTGTGTGTTGAGTAGTGAATTTGGATGAGATTTCTTTGACAGGAGGATTTATGTGTTTGAATACATGGGGAATAAAGTAAAATGTGATGCACAGTTGTTGTCAAGTCCTTCGTCCTTAATTCCTGGCCATTCTGACAGTAGGGATTAAGAACAGTACTGATGAATTAGCATGCATGGCACTTGTGTTGTGTTTTGACAGGACTAACATAGATCTGGCCAAGCTGACTGAGTTGTTTGGCACCCTCAGCTCTGTGCTGGAATACTGTGCTGTTGTTGTGGAGGCTTTTAGTGAGATGAGGTGTTTCATGGTAAATGACAGTGTCCTCTCCAGCAGGGAGCTGCTGCTGCTGCTGCTGCTGCACAAGTGGAGTCTTGTCAGCAAAGACCTGCAGCTGCAGAACGACCTGCAGGCCCTGGCTCAGAAGTACCAAAACAAAGAATTGCTCAGTAAGTGCTGAAATACTTCAAGGAAGACGTATTTTGTTGTAGCTGTTAAAGACCAACAGTTCAAGTGAGGCAAACTTCTTTGGAAGTAGTCCTAATGCCTTCTGTCAGACTGATGTTCCTTGAGGGAGGAAGAAAGGAAATGGAAAGGCATTTTTCAGATCTTCCTTGTGGTTATTTCAAACCTTGAAACAATTTGGAAGCTTTGGAGAAACACAATTTATGAAGGGAAAGAGTTTTAAAATGAAACTTAGTGGCAAATCTCGAGTCAGGCTTTGAAAAAGGGTATTTTTTAAATGAAATCTTAAGAGAAAAAGCAGTGTCTGGAGGCTTTGCGCTCAAAGGTGTGAGTCATTCTGTGAATCATTCTGGATGGGAATCTGAAAACAATGTGTAAGTAAAAACAATAAATACATAAAGCAAGCAGAAGTTAATAGTTGGCGTCTCTTGTTGTCACCAGTTTTGAAGAAAGGAAAAAAAGCCAGGACTTGTGTGACTTCTCTTGTTCTCTCTGTAAACAAAAAGTATAAGGAGCTTGGGAGTGGGAGGTCCTAAAACAGCGCTGTTTTTTTTTGCAGCAGCAGCTGCTTTTGGTGCACATTAAAGCTTTTGTAAGTGGGTTTAAATGTTCTGTATCGTTCAGAAAGTATCATATATTTAAGGGATTCTGTAAAAGCTTTAGCTTTTCTACAGTTTTTTCACCCCTTACAGTTTTTTCACCCTTCAGAACTCCTCAGAAAGACCTAAAGAGAATTTTTGGAGTGATGCCTGTAACTTACTACATGTGTGGGTTGTGTTGCTCCAGGCTTCAGGAGCTTCTCTCGTCTCCAGCTGAGTGATCCAGTTTGGAGCAGGGTTCCAGCCTGGAGTCCCTGGGAGCTCCTGGAGCCCCTTTGAAACACGAAGGCTCCATGAGGCTGCTTAACAAGGCTGGTACTTGCCATTGTAACAACTGAATCAACACAGGAAAGCACCTTATTTGCACAATTTTGTACCAGGAAAATTCTTTGAAGTATCTGATGTTTGTTTTGGTGGTGGTTATCTTCTTACAGAAAATATTAAGGGCAAGAACAAACCTCAAACCTCATCTCCTGTGGTTTGTCACACTCGGAAATGGAACAAGGTGGGAGAAGATGACACTGCTGCAGACATGGAAGTGTCTGAGCTGGAGAAAGCAGAGACCATCTGAATTCCATACTTGCCCATTGGGACCCTCTTTTCCCAGCACCACCCTCCACACAGAGAAGGGAGACCCTCAGAGCCAGTGAAGGTGGGGGTGAGGCAGTGGCTATCACCTGTGCATCCACTCATGCCGTCACTGAGTAGCTGGTGAGGTCCCTGGCTGAGCAGAGCCCCCTCGGGGAGCAGGACATGTCACCAGTGCTGAGGTGGCTGCAGAACTGCGTCCTACCACACCCAACAGCTGTGCGGAAGACGCTCAGGGATGAGACTGAGGAACGACCTTTTCAAGCTTTACACCTGGCTCTGCCAGGCCAGCAGCACCTCACCTGGGCTCTCCAGGCAGCTTGGTGGGCTCAGTTCCATCATGCTCCAGCTCATGGAGGAGCAGGGCCTGTCCAGCACCTTCCACAAGCTTGTGAAATCTCTGTGCCTATCAGCAATGGTGGAAGAGGATGTGCACAAGACAGGTGACCTGTCTTGTTCTTATCACTCATGTTATGAGGCAGTCGTGGGAGAAATTAGGAGATTCCATGGCTTTTTTAATCCATTAAATCAGTTCTCCCATATCCACCCAGGCTCATGGCTGCCCTAAACAGAAGCTGTCTTTGGTGGGATGAGGGCAGGGGTGGGCAGCAAAGAGCGTGGTCACACTGGGAGGTTTTCTGATACTACAACACTCCCACACCCTCTAAGAAGCTTCCCTTTCAGGGACTAAAATGGAACAAAAGGTACAAAAGAAAAATAATTCCAGGAGGGAAAATAGTCAGCAAAAAAACCAAGTCCACATGGGCCTGGATGCTGATCCCTATTGCTGATCAGTGACAGCATCTGACAGGTCAGCAGGTTTTCAAACTGCTTTATTTAACAGGAAACTGGTTTGTTTCTTCTTGTGAGTAGGATCTTTGGCTTTGCATGGGCAAAGGCACTCCAGATTTTTCAGCTAGGAATAGAGTTAGAGAACTCTTTTAAAACATAATCCTGGAGGTACCAAGCAGCTTGACTTGGTAATACTGTGGGGAAATAGAAGAATATCTGTTCTGATTTTTTCCTTATCTTTCTTCCACAGCTGCTTCTGTATTCCTGACTTCCCTTCACATCGGGGACGTGTGGCTTGGAGCACAGGACCCGGATATGTCACTTACCTGTGTCAGGTTGGTGCAGGTTGCAAATTACAGAGTGACTTGGAGACTCAGAAACAAAGGAAAGAAACTATTATGTTTCTTAGCAAAAAAATTGTCTACATCAGGGCATTAATTCAGGGGACTAACATTCATCTTTAATGTTCTTCTGTGCTCTGCCCTCATCACTGTGAGCTGTGAAAGCCTCCTGAGCTGTTCTCATACAGACCTACCTTGTCTGGTCAGAAAAATCAGTATTTTATTCCTGTGTGCAAACTCAGGGGGAAGATTTTATTCAACATCTCTCAGTGGGACATTAAAGCTCCAATTTCCCTTTTCTTGAACAGTTTGAGAGACAATATTACTTAAGTAATTTTTATTACACGCATTTTTATCTTTTTGAAAACCAGAAAGTCTGTTTGTGTCTGTGTGTGCCCTTAATATTCATCCTCTCTCTAATACAGGATGGGAAAAAATGGTTGCAGAGCTTCATGCAATGGGGTATAAGTTCAAAGAATGAGGAGACAGAGGTTTAGTCATGATGATTTCTTGGAGAATCTGGTTGATTTAATGACACCAAAACCAGTATGAATAGAAGACTGGACTTGGGAATCAGGACGGTCTTCTTGGGTTTAAAAGGCTTGAATGGCACTTCAAGACACTTATATCAGACCTGGCTTATTTTTATTACCCTTTTTTTTAAATTAAGAAAAGAAAAAAAAAAAAGCCCTGATCCATCACTGCTTTTGCTGCAGTGTGCAATAAAACCCCATCTTACCTCCGCTAGGAACAGCTGAGAGATGGAACTAAACCCCAAAGGATTTTCTGCTCAGTGATTATAGGTGAGTTTTACTGGGATACTTTGTTCTTGAATGTTGCCATGAGGGTAGTTGAGCATGGCAGTCCAGGTCTGCAAACATGCAGTGCCGGAAGCAGAACCTTTGAAATGCAAAACAGGATTTCTTCAATTGAATCACGACTGTGTGCTGTTCCCTAGGTCCTTTGCACAAATAGTGTATGGGGGAAAAACCAGAACTGCACATTGCTTATGATATGGAATTTTGGGGGGGTTAAATAAAAACGAGATGCAAATGAGGGCATTGCTTCTACATGTAAATATTCTTGTCCTAAAGGAGCCACCAGCTCTGTCCCGAGAGTTGAGTTAAAATTATATTTCTTCAAAAACCCACAAGCCTTTTAGAGTCTGTTGTTTGTGTTACGAAGAATTCCTTAGGAGCTGCCATTAGGGAATCTGCGAGCCGAATGTAGCTGAGCTCGGCCAAATGTCCGAATCTAGACGAGTGTAGCCGAAATGAGCTGAGTGTAGTTGAAGAGCCCAATCTGGCCGAAATTTCTGAACCGAGGTGAGTTCAGATGAAAAGCTGAACTGTAATGGGTTAAAACTTTAAGTTTGTTCATCAAAGCTGACAAAGTAATTCCAGTAAGACTGTTGCAACACCTCTAGTTTGTTTAAGTAAATTTCCAGACTTTAAAGGATAAGGAAGATGAAACCAAAAGACAATAGGTTTCACAAACATTTGTTTATCTGTTTAGTAAACTGTTAATATGGGTGGGGGGGTTTGCTATGATTGATAACACTGTATCAGCTTATCAGCTCAGTAAACCTAGGATTCCAGGAACTCAGCAGATTGAGCCTAAGAATTCCAGGAATCAGACAAAGGAAAATTACCAACCTTCATCTTCAGACCCCGGGAGGTGGACTATGACCACCTAAACACAAAAGAAGAATACGCAGAGTACTACACATCAGTCCGGAAGAAGGACTGTATAAGAACTCCACGGAAAATCAGAAGAGTGTGACAGTTGAAATAAACAGGGCCAGGAGACTTCTTCTCCTTTTTAATGCCTTTATTAAAAGTGATCAGCTCAGGATTGGGCGTCCCGGCAGGGCTACAGTCCCCGTCGTGTCTCCCAGGGTGACTCAGAGGAGGAGGATATGCGCAGCTCTGGCACTAGGGGCAGAGCCGGGGGATCCGGTCCCCGTGGGAGCCTTTAGGGCGTGGTGTCTCCATCAGATCTTGGCCCTCCTCGCTTATTCGGCTTGGTCTCTCCGCTGGGGACAACTCTCATGATCAGGGCGAGAGGGACTCCACATCTCTGCAGGCTCAGCACTTGGCTCCTCACGTCCGGACATCACTTTAGTCCCTCAACTCTTAGGTGGCTCATTGTTTTTAGGGTTTTCTCGTTGCATTTGGAGTCGGGGTCCCAAAGAAAGCATGCTGATCCTGGAGTCACTTTGCATAACCCTCCCCACCCTCTCAGGTGTCTTCCCTATGCTGGGAAGAGAACACAGCCTCGGGGAAGGGCCATTACCTCACCCCAGCCAGGGCTTTTACTAATACAAAAGGGGCTAGAACAACCCGTGATTACAATACAACGCAGAATACAATACAACGCAGAACCCTGGCAGAGACAGAGATCTGGCTGCCTCCCTGTAACTCTTTCTCACAAAAAAATATTAACCGAATTTTTGTTCATAACAACAGTGTTAGAGCAGAGACTCTCCTGTCGCCCAGCACGCCTGGGGCGCTGACTTTGCCTATTATCACTTGCTCTATCAATTAATAAATTTCATGTTATTTGGACTTATTAGGCGGTGATTCATTCCCCACCGCAACTAACCTATAACATGAACTAGCCGAATTTAACTGAACAGAACTGAACGTAGTCACGTTCAGCCGAACACAGCCGAGGCCAGCCGCACTAGTCGGAGATCAGCCGAACTTTACAAGGTCGGCCGAACCAAAGCTAACCACCGAATTTTATGAGCCCGGCTGAACCGAACCGAGCTCCGCGGAACCCAGCCTCCTACTCTCACGACTGTTATAAACAAAAAATCTGCCAATATTTTTTGTGAAGAGAAAGGTTACAAAAGCTAGTCAGACCACTGTTGCTGTGCTGCTAAAGTATTACTTGTTTGTTATGATAATTACAAGTCATTGTCGTTAATAGTTGTTTTTGTATCAGTAAAAGCCCTGGCTGGGGCTGAGTTAATGGCTCTTCTCTGGGACAGTGAAGGGCGGGGACCTCCCCAGACAGTGAGGAGAAGAGACATAGGGGGGGATGTCGCTGAAGGACATGAGAGAACACAAGCACACCACCGCTCTCAAGGTGAAGGAAAAAAGGGAAGTTTTATTCTCTGACTCCAATATTTATACTTTTACAAAAGTGACAGCAGATTGGAAGGTGACAGTGGCACCTCTGCAGTGACACTGGTCAAACCAACAGTCCATCAACTCTCTCCTCCTCCATAAAGGAATGCAAAACAATGAGTTATTTACAGAAAGTGTGTGAGAAAGTTCACTACAAGAATGTCAACATCAGAAGGCTTAGCAAATCTTAAAAAACCAGGGTGACAGGGGGACATGCAAAATAACTTCGGGACCAGCATGCCATGAGAAGCTGCTATTCCAAACACACTGAAAAGACCCCCGAAACAACAAGCCAGTATAGAGTTGAGAAATTGGAGTGATGTCCAATTTCTCTGCAGAGCAGAGGCTACTGCAGCTTCGCGTAGCCTCATGTCACCGAGTGTGTGAGACAGAAAGGCCCTTCCCGTGGAGGGATATCAGCGCTGAAAGATCTTTTTTGGGAGAAGCGGAGCAATGGAACGCCAAAGCAGCCTTCAGTTCTTCTGGCAGAGTTGGGAACAACTTGAAGCAGGAACAGAGCTGGCCTGGTGCCTGCCAGCTCTGCAGGCAGTGGGGATGGAGAAGCTGCAGTTACCTGTCTGCTTGGCTGAGTCTTTAAAAATGAGGCACTTTTCTGTAGTTCCTTGTCTATAAGCATTACGTGAAAGTTCCCCCTAGAAGTCCAAAG